AGCGTTCACACCGTGCCGGGAAGCCAGAGGAGAGCGACAGGTGGGGAGGGGCACGTCACGAACAACAACAACGGCCAGGAGGGGCATACACACAAAAGCCAAAAAGAATCACTTTATCAGTTAAAGTACCAAATCAAAAATAAAATAAAAAAGCACCGGTCAGTACAGCTCTCTGTCGCTCAGTATTTACTTCTTCTTGGCGCCGCTGGCGAGGGCCTTCTTGGCCTTCGCAATACGCAAGGCCTTAGCCTTGCGGCGGGCGTCGCGGTTCTTGGTGTTGCGCAGCCCCTTCGCCATGGCGGTTTCCTTCTTCTGGAACGGGTTCAGGCGCAGGCGCAGGCGGCGGTTGCGGATGCCGTTCGAGGGCTTGGTGAAGCGGCTCGCCTTCTTCGGCTGGAGCTTCTTCGGCTTCAGCACCCGACGCACCTCCTCGGACTGCATGATGCGCGTGACGTCGGTGTTCGTCAGCATCGGGGCGGGCAGCATGAAACCCTTCTTCACCGCGGAGGCCTCCGTGAAGGTGCCGAAGATGCTGTCAAGCTTCTCGAACGCGCCCTTCGTCCAGATGATGAAGCGGCCAACGTGGCCACCGGGGGCGAGGTGCAGCAGGTTCAGCGCGTTCACGTTCGCCAGGTCCAGGCCGAAGATGTTGCGGAAGGCGCGGGTGCCCTTGTTGTCCGGCATCACCAGCATCGGGCCGCGGCGGGCAACGTAGCGGCGGTTGCGCATCTTTCCCCGGCCGGCGCGGATCTCTCGGGAGTCGTTCACACGGTTCACGTCGTCGCTTGCGCCGACCGCCTTGAGGAAGGCCACCGCCTCCTTCGTCTTCTCGTACCCCTGCACGGAGTCCTCCACCACCAGCGGCACCTCCGCCACGTTCTCGATCTTGTGCCCGCGGGACATCACGAGCGACGGCAGCGAGGAGGCGGCCAGCGCAGACACCACGGCGAAACGCTTCTGGTGCAGGTTGATCTTGCGGTGCCAGCGGCGGAAGATCTTCGTGGGGGCGAACATGCGGCCACCACGGCACATGTTGCCGAACGCACCTGCGCCTGACGTGCTCGTGCCGCCGCCATGAATGCGGGGAATACGCGCAACGGCGCGGCCGGTGCCCCACGACTCCGCGGAGTGCTTCATGCCGGAGAGGCGGTTCACCGCGTACGCCTGGCGGGAGTTCTTGGCCATGTTCGTGTGCACGAACTGCACAATGTCGTGGCGGATGGGGGCCGTGAACACGGCAGGCAGCGGGCAGCTGCCCACAACCTTGTCCTCCGACGCGGAGTACACGCTGACAGATGGACGCGCAGTCATACTTGTTTGTTCTTGTCGCGGCAAGAGGCCTGTGTGCAGCCAACCCGTGGCGAGAGCACAGCAATGAAAGCAACGAAAGAAAGAAAGAAAAAAAGGAGAGATAGAGATAGATGAAGGGGTAGCAGCACAACAACAAGAATCTGCAACAATCCCCCCTTTCCCTCCCCAGGCAGACAAGCAAGGAGTCAAAAAGCCAAGTCAACAAATAACCGAAGAACGGGCTTCAGCAAAAATAAGGAGCACGCCGCCAAGAATCATCGTGTCGGCCCCCATTCACCGCAGCCGCAGGCCACGGGCGTCGCGTCCTCCGCATCACAAGCGTCTTGGAGGCACAACCCTCCGCCTCCCCTCCGCGCCCCTCATGTCACACACCGCTATGCGTCCAAAATCCTTGAAAAATATCTATATTACTCTCCTGAAACGTGAAACCATTTTTTCTTTTTGGCAGAAAGAAAGAAGCCGAGAAGAGCAAAGCGTTCACACCGTGCCGGGAAGCCAGAGGAGAGCGACAGGTGGGGAGGGGCACGTCACGAACAACAACAACGGCCAGGAGGGGCATACACACAAAAGCCAAAAAGAATCACTTTATCAGTTAAAGTACCAAATCAAAAATAAAATAAAAAAGCACCGGTCAGTACAGCTCTCTGTCGCTCAGTATTTACTTCTTCTTGGCGCCGCTGGCGAGGGCCTTCTTGGCCTTCGCAATACGCAAGGCCTTAGCCTTGCGGCGGGCGTCGCGGTTCTGGTGTTGCGCAGCCCCTTCGCCATGGCGGTTTCCTTCTTCTGG